GAGTTGTATCCTATATTTTTTTGCTGTTTTTACTGTACACCTTCTTTTTTGTATTTTTAATCGAGAATCCCGTTTGCAGTCACTGGCTTTGGAACCTTCGTCTGCATATTTTTTTTGTACCGATCATTGCAAGTTCAATTGCAATAGCCTGAAACTTAAATTGAATCTGAATTATTATAAGTATACTGCGTGATTGCTGAAGATTCAGTTGCTTGTATTTTCGCTAAAGTATTGCGCCCAGAATCTCTGATGCAGTGCCAGTTTTATTTGTGAAAATTGAGCAAGTAAACATGTTTTACAATTTCGTATTACGCAATCTATTATTTAACCAGCAAAATAAACAAGGTTCTCTTTTAGTTAACTGCAGTCTCTATAAGGCAACATACTATATTGAACACAAAGAAATTATGAGGAAAGGTATAGCTGTAGTATTGCCCCGCCGCGGTGGTCTTAGTGGTCGAGGTACTCGGATGCTGACCCGCAAGTCGCGGGATCGAATCCCGCCGGCGGTGGCTGCATTTTCGACGGAGGCGAAAATGCTGTAGGCCCGTGTGCTAAGATTTGAGTGCACGTTAAAAAACCCAGGGGGTCGAAATTTCCGGAGCCCTGGCGTCTCTCACAATCATGTGGTGGTTTTGGGACGTTAAACCTGACATAGTAATCGGTTTTGATTTTAAGAATGGGTGTCAGTTTTTAGTAACGAAACAAAAATAAACGCCTTTTTGGTCCATCTCCTACCTCAAGTGAAGTATGGACAAAATGTGGTCCTACAATATTTATATTGTAGGGCTTTAGGTGAAGTGTGAATAAGTTTAGGTAAATAATGTTCCCATTTGCTGCTAAGAAGTCCAGTGAACTTACACTCGTTACTTTATTTTTTTAACCTGCTTTCTATCTTCGATGATCGCACCGTCCTCTTGTGAAACGATGAACCGCGACTCTGCATAGTGTCGCGCAACAATGCAGAGGACTCCCCGGCCCGCGTGCCGTGGGAAAAGACGGTGCTCTGCGGCCTCGCCATGCGCTTTGCTTCCGAGAAACAAAGCTCCGCATCTGTGCACACACGGAGGCTCAGTGTGTACTCGAGCCGCTAAGCAAACATCTTGTGACACGGAACGCCCGTTCCTTAACATGCGCCGCGCAGAGATCTCGTGGCTCGTTCGGTCTTTCGGCCCGTCCAGTAGATCAGCCGCTCGGTAGAGCGTGCTCACTCCAGCCCCGTTCGTTGCCGAAATGCGGCTCTAGAAATTCAGACGCCGCGCATTCCTTTTTGCACGGTGTCTCGCCAGGCGTTCATAAAGTTTGCGTGTGTATAGGACGCGGTACGAGTTCGGCGAGAGAGTGTGGGGAGAGAAAAGCGTTGCTGGCCCAGTGACGCACGTCTGAGCTGGAATACGATTCCGAGGAAGAATGCGTCACGTCACGAGGACATGCTAAGTCTTGGTTCTCCGTGGCGAGGCTTTGCCACGCACCTTTTGCGCGTACCGGGAACACATGTGTCCAGACTATCGCGCACAACGTGACGAATGTGCAGCACAAAAAAAAAATTTATTTTCAAGCATGCATACCCCGGAAGCAAACTGACTCGTCGTGAGTATGTCATCGCACGAATACATATGCTACGTTATTGACGAGCTCATCCATATATTTTTTTTTCTGAATGCGTATTTGTGAGGTTGAGGATGAGGTTGAGGATGTTGTAGGTAGCCGGCGGATCTAGCCTTGCATAATTTGCAGGCAATTTCCCCGCCCGGTTTTCTCTTTGCTAGTTGTAGCTAATGTCCTTTGTTTTTTGACTAAGCACGAGCAGGCTTTTAAAAAAAATTAGGCATTGTTACCTGTTACGTGATGCATTGCTGTGTGTTTTTTTTTGGTATTGGCCTGGTTAGTTCCCTATAGTAAACTGCGTATCACAATTAAGGTACGGGACATAGACAAACACACGCAGTACGGCCCTGTGCTTTGTGTTCTCCTGTGGCGCTCACCTAATTTTTCGCTTTGCATTTTACTAATAGTCTGAAAGCCTCCCGCAATCGTTTACTGTAATCAGCCTTACGAGTTTCCTCTAGCTGTGTTCGCATTTCTTTCCGCTTGTGCTGCTCGTCATGGAAGTGGTATTCGCTTCTCTCCGGCGCTCAAGGTTGATCGAAGTTGCCGCATGCCTGACATAACGACATGTGTGCACGATTATCCGCCAGCCTGGGCGACGGAGTGAGCATTTCAAAGCTCAGCTCATGGAAGAGCTTCAGATTCGATCTCGATTGCACCCTGCTGAAAAGTCTTTTTTGCTCCTTCCTAATTTTAAATGAAGAAGAATGGTAACCGACACGGCCGACCCTTATCTCGTTCAACAAGACGGATGGCTAGCGTACTCGAGTGAATGGCTCTTGAGTTCACAGACACACACACACAAAAATGATAAGTGAGCACGCAGATCACTCGGAAAGGCAGACAGGGAGGATCTATGCCCGGGAAAGCCTCCACATGCTCGTTAAGGGAGCATCAGTTCGCATCGAGGCGGAATTGAAAGGCTGCTAATTTGTTATACGAGCGCGATAGAAATCGCGCCTTTCCAAACGTCACTTCATTCGCAAACAACGCAGGTACATTCGATAGAATTTCGTTCCTTTCTCTGCTTACATTGTCGTTCGTTTGGATGGTGATCAGCGGAATGCGCTCGCACACAACTTGGAAAGCTCTTCAGACTGAGCGCGATAAAATCGGACAGCATCGACCTGTGCCGCGCGCATCCCAAGCCGCATGCAGGGGCGCCCCTGCAATATGGGAAGTGCGCGCGCTTCTCGGACGACGGCCACGCAAGCTGCGGAGGGGCCTTCCCCGATCATCTAAAAGAAACCAAAGCGCGACATCGCGTGCCCCTGTGTTTGCGCAGGCATGCAGAGAAGCGAGCGATGTGCTTTCACGATAAGCACATGCACGCTGGCCGCAGAGGGAAAAAAACCAGGAAGAGTGGCGCTTTAAAAGTCCCAGCGCCGGGAGACACCTTACATAACCTGTCTCGCGTTTCCAAGTCCGTGCTTTGGCCGCTTTTTTTTCTCTTTCGACCAGTTTGCTCTTTTGTTTCTCGTTCACAGGGCGAATGTTTTCCGTAACGTTAGTGCCACGATCGCTCTTCGGGAACGTTGCAGGAGAAACACTCTGCTTGGGCAAAGCGAAGGGCGGGCTCAAGAATGAAGAGGCGGAGGGGGGAAGCGAGCGTCTGGTCGTTGATGGAAGAGGTGGAGCTGCCGATCGAAGTGCGCCCTTCTCTTCTCGTAATGGCCACTCAAACAGACGAAGGCATCTCGCGTACAGGAAGCGCGAAGATATGCGACGAACAGCACCGAGTTAAAAGCAGCACGGTCTCCCGATTCGGAAGCCACTTGAACGCGTGAACAGCGGACTCGCCACGATGGGCCTGGCCGCTTGACGCGAGTTCGGGCGTGAACGTGGGCCGTGCGTGTATACGGAGATGCCTTCCTTTGATGGGAGGCATTCGATGACGCTTGTCCGACAGTTGACAAGCCGAGGTGACGATAACATCTGCAACGTTGTCTTGCGTGCTCATGCCTCGCCTGCAGCTCTCGTTTAGGAGGGCACAATTCACGCTCTTCTTCGCTCCGGGTGCGCGTCTTTCCGTGCTTGGCTTCTCTCTACTCTGAGCAAGACTTGTGCGCTGAGTACCCTTGAGAAAACACGTGTCGACGAGCATCAAGAGCGGAGCTGTTGAGGAATGGAACGCCATTTGTTTTTTTTGTGGTTTCTTGGTGGTCCGTTTTCGATAAAACATGCCAAGCATTCGCCACACCAATGGAAGCTCTTGCTCCTGGTTTCATTTTTTCAGAACAGTACGACAGACGTATGCCACTTCTTGCACTCTGTATGTTCTTTTTCCTGCTCTCATCATTTATATATCTCACGTTTCACGGTGTTTAAAAATGGTGTAGTATCTTTCGATTCCCATATTTGTCAAATGAAAGCCTTGAGACGTGATGTGTATATATTATGGCGATTATAGCATCGTTATCGTGGGATACGGACGTTACGTTAGACGTATTCCCACGAGTGAGATAATGTGATATCGCATTTTTTTGGCGTATCACGGCAATGCAGCATGTTTACACATTTGTAAATAATGTGGCTTTGCGGTATCACGATATACCCGCATTCGGCAAGCTGGCCTGCACCTTCACACGCATCCTTCTGTATAGCATATGCTGCAGCAGCTGATAATTATACTCGAGACAAGAACGCCATGCAATGTCCCGCATGCAGGCATTGCTGCAAATCACTTCTGCGGTGTCCCGCAAAGTTGCGGAAGGGTAAACGGGCTTTCTCTATGATGAATTGGTATGGATTTCCTGGTGGCTTCGTGCGACAAGCGGGCGCTGGTACACTTTCTTTTCGTAAGCCTTGATCCATATGTTCTAAGGGCGGACACGTCTAGTTTTCCCGTGCGTTCGCGTGGGAGTTGCCTGTAGAAACGGACCACTAATGGGAGTCTCCATATGAAGTGAGATGAACTTTATTTTGTCCTGGAGAACTGGTCAGACACCCCCTAAGTCTGTTGTTTTCTACAATTACGTTTTGATGTATCCACTCCTGCTTGGGCCAGCACATTGGCCTGCAGTATTGTGAAATAAATAAATAATAATAAGTGGACGCGGCCAGCAACTGTGGCGGACACCCCCTAAGAGGTGTCCGGCCGCCGCAGTTGCTGGCCGCATCCACGCCAGGACTGGAAGACCGTGGCTTTCCGTCCGTTCGCAGGCCTCCTGGACTGCCGAGTATAGGACTGAGAGTTCGACGCTTTTAAGAACCCTCTTCCAGTCTTCTTCTGTGCTGAACTTTGCGCCATGTAACGCCATATGCTTACACGGAAATGTTACAAAGACGGTTCATGTTATGTTGCATTGCGATTATGAGATAAACTAGTACCACCAGACGAGAGGCGTGCCAAGCCGACGTAACGACTTGTCCCGTTGTCGCTCCGTGTGCAGGGGCCTGGCGTCGGGAGGTCCCGAGGAGCCCAACAACGCGGTGGTGGCCACGGCGCTGGGCAGTGCCGTGATGAGCGGCACGCAGCTGCAGCTGAGCGTGCCGCTCAGGAGGAAGCAGCGGGGCCTGGTGCGCGCCAACCCGGGCTCCCTGCAGGCCATCGCCAGGGGCATGAGACTCGCGATCGCCGAGTGCAAGCACCAGTTCCGCAATCGGCGCTGGAACTGCCCCACGCCCGAGTACATGCGCGGCAAGTCGCTCTTCGGAAAGATCGTCCACAGGGGTGAGTCTGTTATCTCCGAACGGTGCTTATATACACCAAGGAACACGTGCGCATAAATTATACCTTTCATAACCGGATACCTCTTAGCGTGTATTTGGTTCTCTTATTGGTTTACCAATAAAATATATTAAGCACAGATTGCTTCTAAAGTATCTGCACACCTTATTAAAATCTGGGCTATAGCTCACGCTTAGGATGAACTGCGCAAAAAAAGTACGGTACGAAAGGGGAACGCACAAGACACAGCGCATGCCCTTTTGTAGCTTCTCGCGCTGTTTGTCTTCAGGATATCTTCACACCAATAACTTGCGAATGTTATCTTGCAAAAGTAATGCCTTCGACGAAGTCATTCACTCTTCCTTTAGCATCGAATTCCCCAAAAAACACTGGCGCTCGAAGGGACGCACGGCGTAAGCCTCAAGATTTACTTTTTGCTATTTGATACCGAAAGTTTAAACGCACGAGCGTGGCGTGGCGTGTAGACCTTGAGCGTGGCGTGTAGTCATGACTAGTCAGAATATGAAAATTATGACTTGCATGTCATTATTTCGACATTAGGGTCTGTCCCTTATGTTCGCTATGCAGTCATGTCATACCGTACAAGTTTTGCAAAATGTCTTGGAAACCAAACCTCGCGAAAGTAGCTAGACCATGAAATGTTAATCATGACATTCATGACATACATGTCATGATTTTCATGTTATGACTAGTATATTATGCTAGTCATACAGTCATGTTCTGTCACACCAATTTCGGTATTGATACCATTGTAGAGGGGCCAGGAGAGCGAAGAGTCGTAAGTGACAGACAGACAGACAGACAGACAGACAGACAGACAGACAGACAGACAGACAGACAGACAGACAGACAGATAGATAGACAGATAGATAGATAGATAGATAGATAGATAGATAGATAGATAGATAGATAGATAGATAGATAGATAGATAGATAGATAGATAGATAGATAGATAGACAGACAGACAAGACAGACAGACAGACAGACAGAACAGACAGACAGACAGACAGACAGACAGACAGACAGACAGACAGACAGACAGACAGACAGACAGACAGACAGACAGACAGACAGACAGACAGACAGATAGATAGATAGATAGATAGATAGATAGATAGATAGATAGATAGATAGATAGATAGATAGATAGATAGATAGATAGATAGATAGATAGATAGATAGATAGATAGATAGATAGATAGATAGATAGATAGATAGATAGATAGATAGATAGATAGATAGATAGATAGATAGATAGATAGATAGATAGATAGATAGATAGATAGATAGATAGATAGATAGATACGACCACTGTCACCAAAGTTCGCTAAGAAATGCTTCGCATTTAATAAGCACCAGTAAAACACATACAAATACGAGACGGGTAGCTTTGTATCACGTACACACTGCTCACCAACCGCTGTAAATCTTATTAGTGTATTACATGTTAGCACATGCTTATTAGTGGTAATTCACAGTTTTCTCCTGCTAATTTTTATATAAGGACGTGTTGTTTTATTTATGCCCGATAACGATGCGACCATTCTCACGGAACTTTTTTTTTTTTCACCCTTTAGTGTTTACACTTATGAAACGCAGATATCGCATATCCCTCCCCCTCCTTCACACAATGCTTTTGCTGGAGCCTGGGGGACTTCGCCATTAAAAATGTAAAATACGTGAGCCCGTACGCACGCGTGACCTGCACACGTGCACGTGGAACGCGTGCTCATATACGCACAAAAGAAAAAGACGATGCGCTGTCGCCGAAACGGGAGCAACGCGCCGTGCGTAAGACACGACGCAGATAGACGCGCACATGCCGCACGCGCATGGCGAGCAGAGCTCTTAGGGACACGGTGTAAATCAGGTAGTTGCAACATGCAAGCCGCCAGCTCCGAGAGCAGGGAAGACCTCTCCGCATGCTCCCGATACGGCCGCCGTCTATCTTAATGACCGATCGCAGAGCACGCGCCGAGCCTCGTTTACAGCGTGCACTGCTTCCCCGCAGCCCGATCCCACTCCCGCGCCGACTTTGGAGAAAGTCCAGCCCAGTGCACGCTACTTTAACGTGGGCTCTATAGGTGCAGACGAAGTCGCGCAAGGCTGCACCTCTCCGAAGAGTAACTATTTATTTATTTATTTATTTATTTATTTATTTATTTATTTATTTATTTATTTATTTATTTATTTCATAGCCACAGTGCCACATGAAAGGAAGGAAGGAAGGAAAATAGGGGGAAAAGAACGGCAGGGAGGTTAACCAGCCTATAGGCAGCCGGTTTGCTACCCTGCGCATGGGAGAGGGATGGCGGAGATGAAAGATAGTGGTCAGTGCAACATGGCGTTACAGTGGGGGAAGGGGGAAGCAAAAAATTCAAAGCGTACAGTTAGTAGCAATTTATGGGAGCATCAAGGGAACATACATAAACACATACACATGAAGATCAATAGCACACACCATAGCGAATCATTGTGCAAACAAAAAATAAAGAAACAAAAATAAATGTACAGAAGCATATATATAAATAATTTAACGACGAAGGGTACCATAGATATAAACGCATAATTATGAGAAAAATAATGCAGAATACATGAAATTAGAAGCATACTACAGGCTTCACCAGCAGTAGCATGAGGGAACAGCAACTCTAATACAAGGAAACCAGGGCGAAACCTGGTAGATTCTATGTTCTTTCTAGGCTTCAGGCAAGTTATTTCTTCTAGATTGTTTCCAAGTTTTATCTGGGTTATGCTAGGTCGTTGATTTCCGGCGTGACATAACCCGGATCTACAGAGACAGAACTTCACGCTGAAACCAAGCGTTCGCCCCTCTCATATAAACCTACCGTTGGCTTAGGCCTTCCATCGCCTCCTAGGGGGGGGGGGGGGGGGTCTTCTCGCCGCTGCCATTGCATTTGCCGTTGTATTATCGCCTTGTACATACTCGGGGTCATGGTTCGGCTGGCTGCCGTGGCTTCGCAGCCTTTCTTTTTGGGGGGGGGGGGGGGGAGGCTTGTTGTGGCTTGCTTTATTTCAAGTGAACCAGTGGCGAGTAAGGACATTTACTGAATTTCTGTGGACCATACCCGTTCATGCTTATGACAGTATCGTGCTAGGCCGTACAAATTACGGCTAGCTTAAACAGCCTCGCCGTTAAAAAGCCACCAGACAGCTGGTGGGTTAAACCGACATTGCGTATTTGAAACCGTTAACGAATAGAGCTAAAAACGAAGACAGTGACGGCACAAGAATACAAACAGGCTGGCTACCATGTGTTCGGGGAAGGGGGTAAGGAGAATAAAAGATGATAAAAATGAGATTTCGCACAAGAACGCCAAGAAAAGCGAAAAGGGGACAAAAGCAAAGGAGAATAAGACCTTCCTTTAAGAATGCCTCTGTATGAACACCTCTCCGGGAGGAATATGAGAACGCTATAAAAAACTTGTGCTGAGCACTGTCTCAGCTGGTGTCTTTTCGTTTTTTTTTTGACAATGGGCGATTGTGAACGCTATGTGCCACACCCGAAAGTACTTTTTTAGGCACACAGAAGCGAGGACACTCACAGAGAAGATGGGTGATCGTTTCCTCGCAGCTACGTGTTATCACGTCTTGGACTGCTGGCCAGTCCCATCCGAAATTAGTATACTTAAGGGAGCCACTACAAACATACTGCTATATAATATGCACATCCTTCGTATGTATAGGTTTGTGATGGCTTTCTGAATTAGAGTTGTGCACCCGTCCAGCGTTCTATACAGTGTCCCCCTCCTCGATGCTGCTCGTCGTTGTTTTTAGCGGCCAACCAAGTGGCCCAAACCAAAGTTTTATTGCCTGTTTGTCTACACTTGAGAGCCGACAGAATTTTAATGGGCACGGCCTAATTTTCAGGTCCAGACATGATTGCTGGACATCATTAATAATAAATGTCAGTGTTTTCTTTTCGGCCCCTATTGCGTCACATCATAGATTGTGAGGAGAAATTCAATTATGCAACGTTATTTCTCAGTTCCAATCAGGCTATATAAAACAGCAAAGGGGAAACAGATAAGTGGCACATAGTAAAGGAAAAAAACGGCTTGTACAACTCGTGACAAACATCGTCAATTATGTATACTTCCTAATTTCGATGTGTTGGTACTGCTAAGCTGCAGTGTTTCATTTTGCACTTGTATAACGAAACAAAATAGGCATATGAACATGAGATGTTATTTAAGACGTAAAAGTTATTTCAAAACGTGCTCTTCATTTATACATTTGGATTTCACTAGGTGTGAGCGTGCTTGAAGCTTCTCTGTCGAAATTCTGCTATCTCTCCCCGGCGAAAGAATTCAGTAAGGTGGCGTATAGCGCAGATTAGAGATGATCGAGACTTCTCGGCCAAACAGAACCTTTCTTGCGTTTTCCGGAGAGTCTGAAAAACAACCGGGAAAAGTATACAAAGCGTGCGTGATTCCCTCAGAATGATTCGCAATGTGAGAGTCGTGACGGACTTGGTTTTTCCTCCTCTTACCCGGTCTTCTTATTATTATTTGTCCATTACACGCACACACTCTTGTTTTCTTTTGTTTTTAGGAGTTTTAAAAGGTGCCCAAAAATACAGGTCGCTCACGACTTTGCGAAATGTGTGTGAGCGCCTCTCGGGGCAATAAAAACCAGCATTAGAGAGCTTTAGTGTTTTTTTTTGTCTTTTTTTCTTTCTTTCCTGACATAACGAAAGCTGCAGCCTCTCGATCGTGAGAAAATAACAGACTCCGCTGCGGTTCTCTAAGGATCGCGGTCTGGTGTTGTGGAGAAGCACCAAGTCTCATATAGTATGCGCTTCGTGTATACGCTAAAACGCGAACGGAGAAGACAACACAAGTTCTCACAAAAAGGTCGCGCTTTAAATACAGTATGTTTATAACAAAGACGAAACCGAAGGTGTTACGATTTCGAAAAACAAAATGAACAGTGGAAACCGGGGACAAGCAAGTGTATA